AAAGGGGGTTGCCACCTGTTATAAAGTCAAATTTAATTTAATAAATATATAAATTTAAACATTACAAAATGATGCAAAGTCAAACATGTTTAAGAAGGCTTTCACTCGAAAATATTTTTACATGTGGTTGCCATCTCTTTAAAATTTACACTAAATTCAGTCAGTTACTTAAACGAACACAGTTTTGAAGAGGGTGTCACCTGTTTAAAAAATCAAATTCAAGTTAACATTTGGGAAAATGGAAAATCTTTCGCCATTACCGAAAATATACATGAAATATATAATGATATACTGATATGAAACAAAGAGTGTTGTTTTTTTTATTCAGGAACATTTTTAAAAGAATGGCACGCTATTAAAAAAGCAAAAAAATATATATGCAAGTTTTTTTTTTTAATACTGTAATGGCCAATTCAATTGACACATTGACCACATTCTGGCAACTCGCGACAAAAACCCCCTTTGATTAGTAATATGTATTATTTTCGGTAACTTAATTTATTTTCTTTTTTGTTACATTTGAAATCATACATATTTAATTGAAAAACAATGGAAATTAAATAACAGGAAAATAACCACGAAAAAGGAGTGGAAAAATATTGTCCCTATTCAAGTGCATGGGAGTGTATGAGCACCTCTATGTGTATGCATATCAATGAAGAAGTGCATACATACGGTGACCATCCGTCCTGTATTATACGGGACAGTTCTCTTTTTTGACCCATTGCCCTTGGAATTTATTTATTTTATACGGGACGCCAAATGTTCTGTATTTCTTTTAATGTCCTGTATTTATCCCGTATTCGGTGTTTCGACGCCTTAACAGCTCATTAAAATGGCATGCCTATGAACGACTTTTAAGTGATGTTGGTATATGATCGTAATTTTCTCCATAAACCATTATTATTTTCTAATCTGAATGGCTGTGATTCGAATCGGGGAATACATACAGTGATGACGAAAATAGAAATTAGGACTCGACATTTTAGTAAGTTTTGGCTATTATTCCTTAGTTCATTTAATGTTTATTATTTATTTTATGAAAGTAAAGCTCGTTTCCTAACAAAAACCACATAATACCAAATTTCCAACTTTGTGCAAAAAGCTATAAAAAGTAATTGAGTATAATAAAGTGGGAGTGGAAAGTGCTGCACATTTGCTTATCTTTCAAAAAAATGGTCGAATATACTTACCTTATATGAAAAAATGCGTAACAATGCCAACAAAAAAAAAATGCCAAAAATTAATGGTAAGCCTTGGCAACTTAAAATTGCACTTTGTTATGCTAAAATTTAACGATTTTTTTTTAACAAATTTTGCGGGGTAAAAATCTCGAGAAAACTATCCTACAAATTTGTGGTGCTACTAAAACGATATTGTTTCAAGCTGTAAACTGTTGTGAAAAAAATTGCTAAATAATTTTTTGTCCCGCATTCGGCTCTCATAAGGATGGTCACCCTATGCATACAGCACAATATCATGCGGCATCGCATGGCGTATGAGTGACGTTTTATTTAGTGCTTGTGTAAATAAATGCGGTCGTCTAGCAAATTTGTTGCGCTTTGAATTTTCGTGGCAGTTCATTTTGCAAACTGATGGATTTCGTTAGTTGTTTTGGCATATTTCAAGTTTTATCCGATATACTGCTTTTTTGTGTGATAAAAATGCACGCTTTTTCAATTTTTTTTATTTTTAAGTATTTTAAAAGAAATTATGTTATGCGTGGTTACGCTAATAACCATAATTTAACATTAACTAAAGCAAAAAGCTTCCTCTTGACGCTCCTCGCCCATGTAAGCCCGCCCCAGGAGAAGCTTCCGATTTAGAGATGGGGGACTGCGAAAACGCCTTGATTTACCACTTGGATAAGCGTTGCCTTGTTTGGGCGAGAGCCTGTGTTTGCCTACGGATGAGCCTCACTAAGATATTAGGGTTTTTAGCAGTACATTTAGCATGTTTCTACTGTCTTTGGTCCCGTTCCGGATAAGAGAGGAAACTGTTGGATGCTTAACTTGTATCTTTAAAAGTTAAAATTTTATAAATATGTGCATACAGCTACACAATTTCTGCCTACTTTCCTATCAATAGTGCTGACATAATCTCTCCTGCATATTACAAGAAAAAATCTATGTCTTTCAAATTGTTAATTTATAAAAATTTATACTTTTATTTATTTTTTTTACTTTATCTTCCTATGTGCTCTAATTTGGTGCATAAATTACCCGATCCATTGGGATAGCAATAATAATAGCAAAAGCATAAGTGATTTTCCACGACTAGTATACATGCATATTTATAAGAGTAAGTGTGCACAACCTAATGCCATTTATGTACATTCACTCTCCGCCACATGTACAGAGAGCATGTGCATATTTTTCCCAACGCCTGCATGTTTGGCTGGTTGTTTGTTGTTGGCCAAGTGCGCACAGCGTTCCGGCTGCATTATTGAGTTAGCAAAATCTTAAAAAAAAAAAAACAAAAAAAGTTGACTCTCAAAACTCTCAGCTGACTTTTTAACTCAACTTAATAAAAATATCGCATTCATATCTCAGATTACATCCATATATATAAGTACATATATGTGTGTTTGTATGAGTCATAGGTATGTGGATGCCAAATGTGCATATGGTCGCGTTTGGCGAGTCTCGCGAGTACCGCGTACGTGTAAATGCCTACGTGCTGGTTATTCAGATGGCGTGCTTACCACATCACACCCACCAAAAATGGTAAACCTCCATTGAATACGTAATTCGTTGTCGGGAAGTCAAGTAATTTTACTTCCTCTGCATTTTTTTTTTGATTTTTCACTTTGGGAGAGTTATTGCATCGCGAATGTGCTGATATGCTTTTTGTGATAATAAAAATGCTGTCAGTCACTTAGAGAAATTTTGGGTCTTCATAGAATTTGCTTAATTATTTTAAGCACTCCCGTGGGATGTTGAGTTCTAGAGCTGTATTTACTGCATCTAAGTATTTTTGGCAAATAAGTATTTTTTTTTATTACTTGCAAAAAAGTGTGAGTGAAGTTTACGGTATATAAACCAAAAATAAAAATATATATAAAAAATAAGTGAAAAAGTTACACCGATTTGTCCTTATATTTCGCCTTTTGGAATATAATTTCATCATGAGCAAAGCTCCCAGACGACACGCAAAGTGGTGGATGGCCGACACTGAGATTGAGAGTTCCCTCAGAAGAACAGCAAAGCAGCACTCCTTCGCAGCTGCAAAGCATTCGAGAAGGAAACCTTGCGATTGAAAAGATGCCTTTCTGAGAGCCCTGCACACTGAAAGCGCTGGAACATCTAATGGATGTCCGCTTTAGTTGATGCGACAATAAAGAGGAGACAGATTTGTTCAAACTGCGTTAGAATGTCTTCCTGTAAAATTCCAATATTTAGAAGCTGAACCGTGCAGAGGGAGATTTTAGGTTCGAGTTCCTTTTTTGCGTAACTCGCTGAAAATATATCTTAATTTAGCAGAGAGCGGATTTATTGATACATTTTCAGAAGTATGCAAAACGTTTTAGGTTTCGATGAATTACACTTTCGTTAACATATTCTTTTGACTTCATTTTATGAAAACTTGAAAAAAGAGATTTTACTTTTAAAAAGGTGGCAACCCTCTGCACAATAAAGCTTTTCAACGCCCTTTCTTTGGTAACTCATATTGTAATACTTAATTTAACTTCCTAATAAAATTTAATTTAAATTTTTAAATAGGTGTCAATTTTCTTAAAAACATGTTCGTTCATTTAACTTATAAATTCAAACAGAACTAATTTTTTTAAACAGGTGAAACTCTCCTAAAAAAATTTTCTATATGTTAATCCAGGTCGTAAGGTATTTCTTAGCTGAGTTTAACCACAATCTCTCACAAAGTTTCAAATTTATAATATTAAGTAGTAGGATTTCAATTAGCTTGTCAGTTGCTTAACTGGTTTTAAATTCCTAAATTGGTGGCAATGCTCGTCAAAAACATTTTCGAGATTGATACAGCCTCCTTTAATTCCCTCTCGTTATATTCTATTTAAATTGATTTTAACTTTTTGAGCAAAGGCAGCCATCTTAATTTTTTATTTATTTTTTTTTCAAAACAAAACTTTCTTAGACCTACCTCTCTCGCTTGACACCCATATCAAAATATTTCATTTCAGGTTTTAATTAAATTGATTTGAATTTCAGGTGGCAACTGACTTATAAAATATTTTCGCTGACACCTGTTTCAAAATATTTCATCTCAGTTGTTAGTTAAATTGATTTTAAATTTCTAGACAGGTGGCAACTCACTCATAAAATAGTTTCGCTTGACAAACGTATCAAGATATTTCATTTCAGTTGTTAGTTAAATTAAATTTGAATTTCTAAACAGGTGGCAACTCACTTCTAAAATATTTTCAAAATACATTTTCTTAAACTCCTCTTTTTTGATGTTCAAATAAAATATTTTATTTAACTTGTTATTTAAATTTATTTGAAGTTTTTGAGCAGATGGCAACTTCTTAAAAAATAATTTAATATTTAATATTTTAATACTTTATTTAACTTACTAATTGATTTTAACTTTAGAAAAACTCTACAAAAATATGTTAATCGGGGTTTAAACTAATCTGGGTGCCAAATTTCAAACGAAATATTTGTACATATGTATCCAGATGTTTTAGCTTCAAGGAGCAGCAAACATACCTACACATTCGCTCACTCACAAAACTTTCACATTTACACACATACACATATAATAGTAGTAGGATTGCCCAAAAGTGGTTCAAGTTCCTAAATTATTTTGCAACACTGTGATTTTCTTTGCTAAGTATTAGAAAGTTTATAATAAACACTTTTCGCTGCCTTTTCCGTGTAGAGGAGACCAATTCATTTTCCACGAAAGAGCAGCCATTAATTTTCTCCATCAGCACTCACTTGTTTAAAAGGAAGCACTTAAATACATATTTACATACATATGTATGCGTAGTTATGCAAGTACATTGGCTAAGTTGAACTTACCTTCGGTGTGGCCACCGCATGCGCTCCATCATACACGTACAGATGATCATTGCAGTCCAGTTGCAACATATCGAAGCGCAACATGAAACGTTGCAATATCGAATGCGTTTGAAATGTGATGATGCAGTCCAGATTGCGTTCATTTTGCGACCAAAGTACAGCGCCATCGATTTTACGATAAAGCTGCTGTAGGAAGTGATTCTTGCACAGAGCTTGCATGTAATCTGGAAAATAAGAGTAAGAAAACGTGGTAGAATAAGTATAACAGTTGGAATAATATTTAAGAAGACGATGGCTGTGTGAAAGTTTAACTTGCGCTACGTACATACATATATTTATGTAAAGAGCGAGTAAAATGCGCGTAAATCGTTAGCAAAGATGCTAATACTAAATTGAAGTAAGTGGTTCTTACTTNCAGATTGCGTTCATTTTGCGACCAAAGTACAGCGCCATCGATTTTACGATAAAGCTGCTGTAGGAAGTGATTCTTGCACAGAGCTTGCATGTAATCTGGAAAATAAGAGTAAGAAAACGTGGTAGAATAAGTATAACAGTTGGAATAGTATTTAAGAAGGCGATGCTGTGTGAAAGTTTAACTTGCGCTACGTACATACATATATTTATGTAAAGAGCGAGTAAAATGCGCGTAAATCGTTAGCAAAGATGCTAATACTAAACTGAAGTGAGTGGTTCTTACTCCGACGCGTGTATGTGTGCGTGTGTTTGTGTGTGTTTGTGTATGAGTGGTGGTGGTGGTGTTAGTAAACCGCAACGCTAACTGGCAGCCAACTCCATCGTACAGCGCTTACCAAAAACGAATAGTCAAAAATCACTGCTTAATGCTTGCAAATGGCCAAAAAGTGGTTGGCGTCTGCATTTCGCAGTGCAGTTGATTTCATGGTCTTAGCGCTCTGTGGCTGTGGACATAGTCGAGTGCATTAGAAATTTAATGGCAAATAAAAAATTCATTTGCGCTGCGTTAGCGTGAAACCAACACGCGAACGAATACATAAAAAAGTTAGCTTACACATGCATTCGTGTGTTTGAGGATAAAAAGAAGTAGAATTTCGGAAGTGATTTTCTTCAAGAAATTTTGCAGCAGCAGGCAACTCCTTGTCGTTCTTCATGTAGCTGATATTAAATTCAGAGAGTTGTGTGTGTGGGAATATATTCAGCAGATTCGAGTTAGTTTCCACTGCGGATATCTGAAAGCGCGTTCCAAGAACTACTAAATCAACCTGATTTTCTGAGAAAATCGTAGTGACGGGTATCTCATTTAGGACGATTTAAACCATTAGAAAATCTCCCAACTAAGCTCTGTCCTGTTCCTCTGAAAATTCCGGTTCTGTGAATAGCCTCAGTCAGCTAAATAATAGCAGCAGTTTTAATTGAATATTGGGCGTTCTGATTTTTTAATGCAAGGCAGTGAATAAGAAATTACTCAACACTTTCCACCTTCACTTCCCCCTATATCTTAGTCTAGATAAAAATCATTTACCTTTCATTTCAATTAAGTAGTAGTCGTTAATAAAATATGCTGATATTCCAATTCAACACTATTCTTATTCTGCCATCAAATTATGGCTTAAGAAAGTTTTACTACATGGCAGTTGAGAAGTATGTAGATGTGCAAAAATTTCATAAATTTAATGAACGAAATTCTTGCATATGCAGCAGTACATAGCATGCATTTAGGGGCCTGGTGTTAGCAGTCGCGCCTAAACACATAATGTACGCCGCTTCTGTAAAACAATCTGCTGTAAGACTTCATAGAACTGGATTTGTAGAATGGAAGAACGAGCAAGTATATCAGTATGCATAATTTCTCGAGTGACTTTTCACCGATTCTATATGACCTCAAGTATAACAGCTAGGCCCTAGGAAATCTTTTTGCCATCGAGAAACCAGCTTCAGTACATCATCTCTAATACGGATGGAGTAGACTTTTTCTCTGAATCCCTTTGAGTAAGACGATTAATCTGCCTAGCCAGGTAGAAGTATTTAAATCACGAGTTTCGCTATTCTCTTCAACAACAGGGCGGCTATTACGACAGAGCTCGTTTGCACAGAGTTCACTAGAATTTCGAAGTAAATTTAGTTTAGTCCCGTTTGGGTAACAAAGCAGATGATTAGTATCTTCACAATAATCAGCGATTGGATCATGGGTGGTGTGTGGTGTCAGATTGCGCTATAGTCGTGTACATTAGGGTGATCCTTAAAAAATCGACATCTAATTTTTAATTGGGGTACCCATTTATTTTGTTCTACGTGAAAAATAAAGACATGCGAAAATTAAAAAAGTAAAACAACAATTAGGATCGCAACTAGGGCTTCATTTTTCTTTGCTTTTATATCGGAAAAATTCGAAAAAATTTGACATATTATTGAAACTTATTAGTACAAGCTCATAAGCCCGCTGAATCACGGTAAAAATTTAGTCGATGTTCATATTTTAAGGACCACCCTAGTATACATACATCACATGAAGAATACATGACCTGTTGAAAATTCCAAATCTCAGGAATACCATACTATGACCATTTCGGTACACATCTGTCTGATAGAAGTCTCCACAACATACTCAATTTTACCAACCATGCTGGCTGGGCGTCAAGCTTTTCCCTATTTATTCCACCCTAACCTAACCAGTAGTCAGATGTATTCTTTTATGGACAAGTGCGTTTAAATAACTGTCGTAGTATGTGCGTAATATATATGTATTTATGCACTTTTCGCACTAACTACCTTCCTTATAACCAACATAATTATTAATTCTTCTTTACTTCCAAAAAAGCGTAGTTAAAACTGTTTGCCTGTGCTTGGCAAGCATCCACACAAGCGGTTGTTTTGCGTGAGCGGAAGTGCAGCAGACAGGTAAATGAAGTTGAACGTTGCCTAAAAGTGAGTAAGAAGCGAACCGTACTGCAAATGGCGTTTGTTCATTTCTAAATTTTGTGAAAATTCAGCTTTTGTCGCAACATTTCGAATGCAATGAACAAATTTTCAGAACATTTTGCTGCAAATGCTTGCTTAATGATTGCAATGCTGCCGTAAATGAGATAGATGAGTGGAGAGTGTGTGGAATAGAGTTGAAAGTGTGTAGGTGGGTTGTTATGCGCACCTGATGATTTAAAAATTTTCCATGGGTAGTAAAAGTAGAAATTTCGACTTTTCATTGCACATTTCACTGCAATGGTTAATTTTGATGTTGATAAGAGCGGAAAATTTCCAGAAAATTTCTAAAGGAAGCATATCCTTTGTTTTACCGTTTTGGTTCTTGCGGTTGTTGCCGAGAGGGTGGAATATTTTGCAACGAATTTCCGGCATCCCTTGTCAAATTTTATTTGGAGACAAACTGGTTTCGACTCTGCGCCATATTTAGTGTAAAATGACACTGAAGATAGCACAACGCCAAAACCGGTTTGCCTTCAAACCAAATTTGTTTAAGATGACGGAAATACGTTTTAAAATACATCATATCCTCTGATATTTTTTTGAATAAGTAGAAAATCAATACCTTTCAAGAGATCAACTTCTCATAACTCTAAGTTTATGATGCTGTCGACTGATTATTCCAGAAAGGCGATAAACAAACATCGAAATAGGTCTATATAACGTGGATTTCCCCGATCTTAAAAAGAACAACAGTTCTTTCCCTGAAAAAACTCTATCATCGAGAATCGACTGTTTTGGAGATGAGATTATACCATTTATACCATAAATGAACTACATATGTACACCTGGTTTTTTCGATTGTAAAAATCCGGTATACTCGGTATTCTAAAACCAAAATTAAAAAAAACCGCCTAAAAATATTCAAAAACAACCGGTTGAAGCCGGTTAGGAAAAAGCGAGTCAATTACCCTAGTCCAAACTCGGTACTGAAAGATATTGTGATAACCGCCGAAGAGTCTAGGATAAACGAATGACCTGAGGTTTACAGCAAACATAAGCTGGGTTCTTAAGTCTTATTGCTACAATAAAGGCCACTTCTAGAGCAATTAGAACAAATGAACCCCGCATTTAGAGGCCCTGTGTTGGTGAAGAAAAGGGCCTTGCTTATTTGTAAACAAACCTGCGATTCTTTGTATCTATTCTCTTCAGACTTCCGAGCGCTGAAAAATTTTCTGTAGAGACCACGAAGATATATTTTTAGAATAACAAACTCGATCAGCTAAGATTGGTCTCCAGTAGAACTTCTACTGCCACAGCTGCAATCTCGGAGATATGAAGCAAACGATTCTCCATCACCCATGCGAATGTTTAGCTCTGGGAATAGCACACAGATAGTAATTTACGCGAAGTCAATGATTAAACAGCTGTTTATGAAGACGAAATGTATTTATACTTTTGACGTTGTTGAGGACTTTGTATACCTGAAAACCAGCATTAATATCTACCATTAGCAATGCCCACCTTAAATTCAGTATAGAAACCGATCTTGCCAATAACTTAAATTTTGGAATGAGTAGGCAATTGAGAAGTAGAGTCTGCCCTTGGTGTTCAACGGTGATGGAAAGATGAGCTGTGGGGACTTTAAAACAGGGAAGACCGTCTCTGCGTTGAAACGATCAGGTGGAGAGATTTAATTTCAATTGAAGTTTCTACATAATTGGCGTGAGTGAGCAAAAGAAATGACTGACGTGCTTAATTGAGTTCACCAAATAAGAAAAAGAAAAAAGAAGGCGTACATCCGTACACAATTAAAATATTTCTATCTGAACACTAAAAGAGTTGAAAGCAGAAGAACAATACAATTTTCAGAAGTATCTGGAACAGAAAAATCACGAAAAATTTCATAGCCTGTTTTTCTGATTTTCATTTACTTACGATATTTCTTTTCCGATTTATATAACCAAAGCTTAGTTTATGAAAAATGAGTGAGCAAAGTTTATGAAAAAATGTAAACTTTGTTTTGAGTGACAATGACTTTCTTCGCTGTCTTTCGAACAGTCTGTTTTATGAAGCATTGATTGCCGGCTGTCAGCTTTATTAATCGCCTTTTATACATCTCCAATTCCTTGACTTCACCCACCAACTTTTTGCACACATCAAAAGAGAGAAAAGATCGAATTTTTCGAATTCTTTTCAAGCAAATAATATGCGTTAAAATAACGTCAGCTAATTTTGCACAGCTTCCCGAATTTAAGCGCATCATTTAACTTTTGTCACTTCCCAAATACCAAAAGTGAAATTAATAATCGAAAAACCTGCAAAAAGTGAAAAAGAAATCTTGAGCGAAAAGTCAAACAAAGAAGATGAATTGATTGAGTACTCGAGGACACAAAGCAGGAGTGTTTGCAGTAAATGATTTGAGAGGGCGAGAGCAGACGAGGAGAAGAGGAGGAGGAGAGGAGAAGAGGTAGAGCATTAGTGAGTGTGAGTCACAGCGCAAGAAATTCGAAGTGCTCTGCCAAGATAACGGGTGTTAAGCATAGCTAATTTCTCATAACGGCCATTGAGTGAATGAATGAGCGACAGTGAGTGTGTGAGGTGGGTTCAAAACTTTG